TCGCTCTGCTCGCGCCTTCATCCTCAGAGGAAGCTCGCTCTGCTCGCACCTTCATCAGAGGAAGCTCGCCTCTTTCTCTACTCGCCGGTTCGCTCTTCTCGTGGAGCTGCTCCGAATTTCATCGTCGATCTTCACTTCGCCGTCGCTGCTCGCCGTCGATCTTCACTCAGCTCGTCTCTGAGCTTCATCAGCTGAGCTCTTCCCCCTTCTTTCGCCGGCCCTGCTCCGATCTCTTACCTCGGTAGTTCGCCCAGTCAGGTCGCCGTGCAGAGCTTATGTTCTGAGTGTTGCACCTCCGCATCGAAGTCGATAGGGGCAAAGCTCAGTGAAAGGCCCGATCGTGGCAACTCGTCCTCGGGTTGGTGAGGTCGCCGTTGGTCAGGTAAGCTATCTCCGGTGAAAAAAAAAATTTATTGCTGGCTTCAGTATTTTCCCTGTGCTAAACCGAACGATTTTGGAAACTTCCTCCCACTTTTGCTTTTGAAATTGTTCATGACTGGCATGTTGATCGAAGGAATGAGATATTATTGCTTGCTTCAGTATTTTGCCTGTGGTAAACCGAAAAATTTGATTGCTGGCTTCAGTATTTTCCCTGTGGTAAACCGAAAAATTTGATTGCTGGCTTCAGTATTTTCCCTGTGGTAAACCGAAAAATTTGATTGCTGGCTTCAGTATTTTCCCTGTGGTAAACCGAAAATTTGATTGCTGGTTTATTGCTTGATTTTTGTATGAAACGAAATGTGGTTCTGGAGGCAGGGAATATATTTGGTGATATTGTTTTGGAGACGAGAAAGCCTGCGAATTGAATTCCACTGGGTATATAAAATGCAAATTCGTTTTGCTCTGGTTGCTTGGCGTGGGATCCCTTTTTCCTGTCCAAATTCGCCCAGAAGAAGCCTGTGAAGTCGAACAATATATTGGGACATTGCTTTTATTTTTGGAATGTGAGGCAAGAATGTGTTGTCGTGAATTATTGTATTAATGACTTTGATAAATTTATGGCCAATTTTTGAGAGCCAGGACAAATAGAATCACAACTCAAATCCGTGTATATATTGAAAGAAGTGATTTGTATTTTGCTTAGAGGTTTATATTGCTGGTGTTTTATATTTTCAGTTGACAAATCAATAATTACATTCATCATGAATATTTGTATTAATTACACACATGAACGAATTTTTTTGAAAATTATTTGTAATACACAGTTGTTGTAAAAGTTGAGTACAATATGATTTATGGTGCATGATGGTTCAAATATGATTTATCTTATTATTTTGTCTTTCAATCATCTTTGTACAATAGTTAAGAAAAGGAAAAAATATATATAATTATTTAGTTAGTTTTGACGTTTTAAAAGTTAGTATTTTTAAACAAAAATAGATAATGAAATTCCGAATAGGAAGGGTGTATTTTTTCTGGCCATTTAAAATTACAATTTTCTTGTGTTATTTCAATTGATTTTGAGTTGATCAACCTGTGATGACTGAAGAGCTATAATTGTGCTATAGCATAATGCGTAAGAATACGGTGAAAGCTTCTTGGGACCTACGAACCACAAAAGTGTTTATTGACCTGTGCATTGAACTTGTGCAACAAGGGGAAAGAAAAGGTACTAGCTGAACAAAGAAAGCTTGATATTCTTAGTGATAACTTTACTGCCAAAACTGGAAGAGTGTATGAAAAAGCTCAATTTAAGAATAAATATGATTCCCTACGAAAGGAGTGGCAGACATGGGATAGGCTGCTTCGTGAGACAGGATTGGGATGGGATACTGAAAGGAATACTGTCAGTGCAACTGATGATTGGTGGGAGAGAAAAATAAGGGTAATTATTAAACATTTTGATCTTACATTTTCTCTACTTGTTAATATTTTGTGTATATTTACTGTTTTTGTAATATTTTATGATATTATTGGTGTCTAATGTGCAGGAAGTTCCAAACTACGAAAAATTCAGAGAAAGAGGACTTCAATTTAGGGATCAGTTGACTCAACTATTTGGGAGTGTGGCTGCAACTGGACCACAGGCATGGGCACCTTCTTCCATGACACTTCCAAGTGAAGGAACACCGAATGAAGATTTGGAAGAAGGGTCCGGAGATAGTGATGAAATTTTAGGCGCACCAACTGGTATAAGTGGGAAATTTAACACAGTGAACTTCAATGATAATAGTGGAGGTAGTGGAGGCAACACTGAATTGAGGCAGGATACCAGTGGTGGGGGTACAAGCAGAGGTAGGAGTCGACCTAGTAGCTCACTGGGGGTCAGAAGGAAGAGTGAAGTCAAGAAGAAACGCACATCTCCCTCTATGAAAATAGCGGATGCAATTAGCAAGATTACTGAAACAAATATTTCTGAGGCCGAGCGTGGAAATGAGGTCATTTCACGAGCAGAAGCTAGAAGGTTGGAAGAAGAAGCGCGTGCTTATGAAATTTCAATTAGGGGAGTCCTTTCTCACCTGAAAACAATTCCTGAAGTTGTCAGTGATCCCGATTTCTTTAGACGGTGCACACAACTCCTTATGGAACGGCCGGAGGCACGGGAAATGTATGCAGCTCTGAAGGATCAGAAGGAACAACTTCTACCCATTTTAGAGCATTATACTAGGGATTTATGACTTGTTTATTATATTAGACAGTTCCATATGTGTATGTTTTATGTGACCAGTGGATTGTTATATGAATCAGACAACTCTGTAACTTTTATAAATGTTTCGTAATTTCTACGTAGGAATTCTAAACTTTATGTGTATGTGCACAGGATAAAACGAATATGGATGATGAAATTAAACATGTGGAAGAGCATGCTAAGGGACGGAAAAAAAGGGTTAACAAAGTTGCAGCATTGGTTGGTGCATACGCTACTTTGAACTTGTGTAAGGAGCCTCGGCATACAAGTACTTATACAGGCTGCATATGGGTAAGGGATGTTTTAGATGGCAACTCCAGTCGTTGTTATAACATGTTTAGGATGGAACGGGATGTGTTCTTAAGTCTGGTGGAAGAATTGCAACAACATGGTCTAAAAGAAACTAAAAATATAGGGATACATGAATCAGTTGCAATGTTTTTACATACCGTTGGGCATGCACTTAGTAGTAGAATGCAGCAAGAAAGATTTCAACATTCAGGGGAGACAATTAGCAGACATTTTCATAATGTCCTAATGGCATGCTGTAGACTTGCCATGTCTAATATCAAACCAAAAGATCCAACATTCCGGCATGTTCATACAAAAATTCGGTTTGGTAAATACTGGCCTTTTTTTAAACATGCTATTGGAGCAATTGATGGCACACATGTTTCCTGCGTTGTCAGTGCAACAGATCAAACTAAATTTATCTCTAGGAAAGGAACAGTGTCACAAAATGTCATGGCGGTTTGTGATTGGGACATGTGTTTTACTTTTGTCTTGGCCGGATGGGAAGGTAGTGCACATGATGCTCGGATATTTGATCATGCCCTCACAACTCCTTCAATGAACTTTCCCCATCCACCTGAAGGTATTTTTTTATTTCCTATATTTTTTTAATATTTAGCTTAACAATAGAAACATAATTTATAATAATTTCATTTTTTATATAGGAAAATATTATTTGGTGGATGCTGGATACCCAACACCGAATGGATATCTCGGCCCATATAGACGGGAGCGTTACCATTTGCCTGATTTTCGAAGGACATCTGGGTTTGAAAATGACAATGAGATCTTTAATTATTTCCATTCAAGTTTAAGGAGTACAATTGAAAGAACTTTCAGAGTTTGGAAAAAAAAGTTCGCAATCTTACAAAACATGCCATCTTATGATTTTGAAACACAAGTTAAAATCGTTTGTGCAACGATGGCTATACATAATTTTATTAGAACGACATCTATTACTGATCCTGGATTCGTTCAGTTGGAAGAAGAAGGTACTTATGCAGAAGATGATGATGATGGGGTTAGATTTTCACGTATACATTCATCAATTCAATCTTCATCTTACATGGCTCAGGTTCGTGACAGCATAAGAGACGAACTTGTTAATTCAATACGAGGATAGTAGTCATGTCTTATTTATTTCCTTTTATCATAGATTGTAATATGTAGTTAAAAACAAAACCTATTACAAATGCTTTGTATCGATGCATCATCTTAATGATTATGACACTTCTTTATTTATATTTCTCTTATTAATATTATGCCTTATATTCTCAAGCTAATTATTACTTACTTGAATAATTAATAAATTATTTTAAGACGTGTTTATTCTATTTTATCAAACAATATCATCCCATTTTATGTTTATAATCTTCATGAAAAATACATGACTTTCTGTTTGCAACAAAATAATTCATCTTCTCTAAAAATATTTTTCACTCTTATATTTTATGAATATATATGTGTGGTGACAATTAATTAATTAATTGTATTAAACATTAGAGGTTATTATACATGTAGTATGTTATTACAAAAAGTAGTTGTGAAAAAATGTTATGAGATTTCACGTTTACAATCTTTAAACAAAATTAATATTTTTCTGTTATAAAAAAATCATTTTTCTATAAACATATTTAATATTATGTTTTATAAATATATGTACACATATTAATTATGTATTAATTATATTATCTTATATATTATTAATTATGTTAGTAAAAATTATTTCATTAACAATTTTATTTCTTCAAATCAAAATAAATCATAAAATCTATCCCTTATATAATTATCATATTAACTTATACCCTTTTTGGTAATTTCCACATGTAAAAAGCACTTCTGGTAATAACTATCCAAACACTCTCACTTCTCAGAATCACTTTTTCTCAGAATCTATTCTCCAGAATCACTTTTCCAAACCACGGTTTGAAGTCATCCAAACACACCCTGAATCGCAGTGGGCCGCAGCTGTTAAAGGAAAAAACCGAAGTAAAGTAATAGTAATTTTTCATTGCTGGTAAAAAAAAAAAAGTAATTTTTTCATTGTCTGGCCAGAATCCACACAGGCAAAAAAACCGGAAAAGAAGGAATCAACACAGGCTTTTATTTATAAATTCAAAAACACGCTAGTCATAGAATCATATGGCAGTACTTTTATTTCCTTTACTATGATTAAACCCAAAAAACACGTACTTTATTTTTGGCACATTAATGAGACCAGTACAATGACACACGCGATATCTGGCATCATGAAATCTGATTGGACTTGGTCAAACTTATTTAGTCAACAAAAAATTTGAAGTGCCGATGACGATGATCACAGAGCATCGTAGAGCTGGGAAGAGAGACGGGGTCGGACGAGGGCCTGGAGAGGAGTAGCTTTCATGGTAGTGAGTCCAAAAACTTCAGCCATATCAATGGGCTCATCAGATGGCTTTGAGAATTCAAACGAGTGCAGGAAAGTGGCCAGAGTGAGATGAATGGTTTGAAGGCCGAACGATATTCCAGGACATATTCTTCTGCCACTTCCAAATGGAAGTAACTCGAAGTGATGCCCTCTCACATCAACATCTTTATGGGTAGTGAGAAACCTCTCTGGCTTGAACTCAAGGGGGTCTGACCAAATAGTGGGATCTGTTTGAATCTTCCACAAATTGGTAATGAGTCGTGTTCCCTTTCTAACAAGGTAGCCCCCCACGGTGCAATCCTCTGTGAATTCACGAAGCCCAGAGAGAGACGCTGGTGGGTGTAATCTTAGCGTCTCTTTAACTATTGCTTGAAGATATACCAGTTGATTTATGTCTGATTCTTTCACGCGTCTTTCTCTTCCAACTTGGATGTCCAATTCTTTCTGTGCTTCTCGCAAAGCATGGGGGTTGTTTAACAGACGGGACACTGCCCATGTCAGGGTTACTGTGCTAGTATCAACCCCTCCAGCAATTAATATCTACAAAATTACAAACTCTCCGTGAGAATATTGTCACAAATTATGCTAAATTTTTTCGAAACTTCAGCTGTCTGCTAAAATTTTCATCTGAGCTAATAGAAGTAAATGTTGAATATTATTGATCTTAATTGTAAAGACTTGAAACTAACGACAGAAGCATAAATGTTTTATATCTTGTTGTTCCCGACTGGAAAATGGCTGGGCAAAACATATACGTACCAATGTCGTAGCTTTGTTGATGGTATCTGCATCATATCCTCCCAGCTCTGAGCCACCAAGAACAGAGAGCATGACGTCCATGAAATCTTCGTCCCCTTTATGGTCTCCGGAGGCTCTCTTGCGGTGGTGCTCTTCTAGCCACTCATCTAAAATGGCGTCGAGTTCCTTTGCGATTATCTTCATGGCCTTTTCATGTCCATCCAAATCCAGCCGTCGAAGATAAGGAAGAGCATCCCCTAACACAAACACTCCCATCAGACGAACGAACTCTCTCAAAGTCTTCAGAAACCGTCGTGCTTCCTCCTCGTTAACCTCGGCTCTCCCGCCAAAATATCGCTTCCCAGACATCGTTCTAAGAACCTCGTTCATGGTCAATTCCCCAAAACACAGACTCAGATCCACTAAGACCTGGCCGGCCGACTCGTTCTTTTTCTCAGTCCAGAGTTGAAACAGCCCTTTCACGCAAGAATCAACCTCGGACACGCGCACGTGACTCAACTGCTGGATTCGACGATTGGAGAGCAACTCCAGAGTGGCGAACTTGCGAATCTCACGCCAATAAGGACCATAAGGTGCGAAGAGGAACATGGCTTGGTTGTAGCTGAGGTTATCAACAGCCACAAGTTTAGGGCGCGAGGAGACGGCCAAGTCGTTAGTGGTGTAGCATTCCTTAGCCATTTCCCAGTTGTTGATCACCAGAGCACGTCGAGACCCGAGCTTGACGGTGAAGATGGGTCCGTACTTGTCGGCCAGAGCACCCAGAGAGTAATGGGGTATGTTTTTACCGCTTAGGAGGGGAAGGTGGCCAACAACGGGCCAACTTCCACCTGCTACAGGAGCCTCTCTCGTCCCATGAGCTTTGGACCTTCTTGTGAGAGAGAACCCTAGCAGCAGTAGAGAAAGCAGTCCAAGTACAGTAGTGGGAGGATCTAAGCAACTCAGAACTAAACCCATATTGGGGTTGTGCTCTGTTTGTGCAAGGAGGATGATATCTTAATTCTGTGGACCAGCGGTGAAGCCGTGGCTCTTCTTATATTGGCTTCCATATACGGATGGCGGCGTATGACTTTTCTGAGGCTCGATAAGACGATTATGGAAGTCGAGTCTTTTTCAGCCAGTCTTCCCAAGTAAGTGCACAGCCGCTAGCTTCAGCCGCCTGTCTCTGAACGCGTGAACGGCTGTGACTTCTTGCTTTTTGACATTTGTCGGTTCCCTTGTTGTAACAGAAGGGGTAAAATGTATACAATCCTGATCATTAATAATCAGATAAAAGGTGTAAAACAACACAAATTGGACTACACTCATCGCCCCAAATGTTCCTTTCCTGGAGCAGAATGCTAATCGGATTTCGCTTTCTCAGCACAATCAATCAGTAAAAGAAGATATTTGCAGCGTCGTGATTGAATATAGAACCTCTCTCCACTGCTGTTTTGGTTTTGCCTCAAATGAAATCTGTTTTTTTATATATTTTTTATGGTTATGGAAATGGGAGAGTCAAACTAATTTCTTCTCATTAAGATATTTTTTATTCAGTCATCAAGCTCTGTTTTCATAATAACTCCAAGCGATACGAAGAAGCAAAAATAATTTATTGTTGAAGGAGTAAATAATAAAAGAATAAAGAATGCATCATTATTTACCATTCTTTCTAACTTTAACAGATTAAAAATCAAAATCATCTTTAAAAACCTTAAACGCATGTATTTTTGACTAAAAATCGAAATCATTTTCTTTTTATATTCCCCTTTCGGCCGCCCTAAATTATTTTTCATTCGTTTCAATGCCGCAGCCGCCGTATTTTATTTAGACATTTCAGTTTTGAAGATCGACACCTGTTAAAAATCGTGATGGGTGAAAAATTTTCCTCATTCTAAGAAAGTGACCCATTCATTGTCAGCGTATTGACAGTGTAAATCTCCGAAGTTACATGTCATCGCTTGGCTTCGAGATTTGAGGAATTACGAATCTGATAACGATTGGGCCAGGGGGATTTTCAGTGATTAACGGGCTTGGCGTCTTCAAGGGACCATTAATTTTGACATATATTTTCACTGAGGATCACTCCAAAAAACAAAAAACAAAAATAAAAACTTGAGCCCCATAGACTTTGGTCATTTAATTTGCCACCTTGAACGTACGAAGCAGCACTTGTGTCAAACAAAGCCGATCACAGTGCATCATAAAGCTGGAAAGAAAGACGAGGAGTGATGAGAGCCTGGAGCGGAGGAGCCTTGGTGGTTGTGAGGCCAAAAATTTCAGTCATATCAATGGGTTCATCGGATGGCTTTGAAATCTGAAAGGAGTGAAGGAATGTAGCCAAAATGAGATGAATGGTGTGAAGGCCAAACGATATTCCGGGGCAAATTCTCCGGCCACTTCCAAACGGAATGAGCTCAAAATGATGTCCTTTCACGTCAACATCTTTGTGGGTAGTGAGGAACCTCTCTGGTTTAAACTCCAAGGGGTCAGCCCAAATGGTTGGATCGGTTTGAATCTTCCACACATTTGTGAGGAGTCGCGTTCCCTTCTTCACGCGGCAGCCACCAATTATGCAATCCTCTGTAAACTCGCGTGGCCCCATAAGAGTTGCTGGCGGGTGTAGTCTCAGAGTCTCTTTCACTATGGCTTGAAGGTACGCTAACTTATTTATGTCTGATTCCTTCACTGCTCTTTCCTTCCCGACTTGAATGTCCAATTCTCTCTGAGCTTCTTTAAGGATGTTGGGGTTGCTCAGCAATCGCGAAATTGCCCAAATAAGGGTCACTGTGCTCGTGTCAACGCCCCCTGCAATTAACATCTACGCACACTGCATCTCATTAATTATCGCTGGATAACAGAAGAAGATGGTAAATGCACGGTAAGAGATAAATAAGTACCACCCATCATCAACATAAGAACTGCTAACAGAAACAGTTTGAATTTACTTCTAAATATAAAATTTTAATTAATTTTAACTCTCTTGTTTATCTAAACTAGTCTTATTGATTATACATGTTAAAGGAGTTTGTATTAAATATTAGTTTCAATCCATATAATTTAAAAAGATATTTTAAAAAAATCAACATATATTTTTTACAAATAACTAATTTAATTAATTTTTTAATCTACTCAAATTAGTTATATAAATATAAATTTTATATCGAGGACAAGAGGTAGCATATAAATTTAAGAAGGAAGGTTATTCATTCCTACGAACTGTTATTAACTGGGGTATAGGGTACCGTATTAACAAAAGAAATGCATTTATAATGTTACGGGATAAAAATGAAAAATAGGGGACACAGATAGTAAGCCAACACGGGTTAATGTCGGCAAAAAAAAAAGAGCACGGGTTAGTGATTTCACATCGATTAAATTTAAATCAACAGTGATTTGTTCGTTTAATTAAAAGAGCTAATTACAGGGAAATAATAATAAACTAATATAGTTTTTAATTTTTAAAGTCTTGTGGCTAACTTCATAAATGCATACGTACCAGCGTTGTGGCTTTGACGATGGTATTGGCGTCATGACCTCCGAGCTCAGAGCCATCGAGAACAGAAAGCAAAACGTCCATGAAGTCTTGATCACCGGCGGAGGCTCTCTTGCGGCGGTGCTCCTCTAACCATTCTTCTAAAATAGAGTCGAGTTGCTTTGCAGTTTTCTTCATGGCCTTCTCATATCCACCCAAATCCAGCCATCTGAGACAAGGAAGAGCATCCCCCGCCACGAACACCCCCAAAAGCCGAACGAACTCCTTCAAAGTTTCCAGGAGCCGGCGTGCCTCCTCCTGAACCTCAGCTCCACCATCGTAGTATCGCTTACCTGCCATCGTTCTAAGAACCGTGTTCGTCACCAACCTCCCAAAACGCTCGCTCAGATCAACTAAAACTTGGCCCGAATCGTTCTTATTTTCTGCCCATAGGCGGAAGAGCTCTTTAACCCAAGAATCAAGTCGAGACGCACACACCTGACTCAGTCGCTGAATTTGGCTATTGGAGAGCAACTCTTGGGTCGCTATCTTACGTAGTTGACGCCAGTAGGGGCCATAAGGTCCGAAACCAAACATCGCCTGATTGTAACAGAGGCGTTGAACAGAAACAAGTGCAGGACGGGAGGAAACGGCAAGGTCGTTGGCGGTGAAGCATTGCTTAGCCATTTCCCAGTTGCTGATCACCAAAGCTGGTCGAGAGCCCAGCCTGATGCTGAAAATGGGTCCATGCTTGTCGGCCATGGCTGCCAAAGTGTGATGGGGCATCTGCGGACCTCTCAAGAGTAGAAGGTGACCAATTATGGGCCACCCACCCTCTGCCTCATGATCTTTCGACCTTCTTATAACAGATAATAAGCAAATTAGGAGCAAAGAAAGCAGTCCAACTATAGCAGCATGAGCATCTAAGCTACTCAGAACTGAGCCCATATTGTGCCTCTGGTTCTGTTTCTGTGTGAATGGTGAAAAATAGACATGTCCCAGTTCGCCACCTTGCGAGCACAGGAGTCTCCTACATTCATTGCATCTTTTTATCATCGCGATGGGGACACCCTTGAATTTCTGTACAGAAGAGAAATACTGTAGCTCAAATTTCCATTCGCGTGTTACTGACCAATGGGATATGGATAGAATTGCGAAACCTATCTTTTGATTCGACGTTTGCCCTATTACGGCTTAACTTGTCATCCGGACTGATAGATTCCACTTCTTCTCATCACATATTTTGTCACACGTGTGTCTTGATTTTTTAGGGGTTTTCTTTCCTTTTCTTTCTAATATATCCAATATATAGCAGATTCCTCTAAAAATAAGAAAAAATTCTAAAAAAATATTCTTGTATTTGAAAATTTCAAATAAAGAATTACTAAAAATATGTTCTTATTTGCTTTTTGAGTATAGTTATTTTTTTATGAGTGTGATAATTAATATTAATTTAAAATTTCAAAATTCATCGGTCATTTTTTGAGATTCTCTTCAAAAATAAACCGCAGTATATTTTTATTCGCTAATTAATATTAGTCAGGATTGAGGTTTTTTTTATCATAACTTTACGTTATGTATGGATTTTATAGATGCTCAGCAACTCACATAACATAAGCAGCGGCAGCGCTGCCAGTTGGGTTAAGAACAAAAAATATTTAAGTTGTCTGTTGAGGATGACTTGGCTGGCAAACAATGAGGCAATGTAAAATTCAATACTTTATTCTCCTGGCGAATATGATTTTGGGCAGAAACACATATGGTGTTTAATTTAGTTAAATATTAAGCAAAGGTAGAAAGGCAGTTGCTTCATATAATCTTACATGACGTAGAAACCACCACTCACACAAATACATAACACACACACCCCCAACCCATACATTTTGATTTTTCAACTTTAGCGGGCAATCGAACACACAGTATATTACACTATAGTGGACCCACGGCCTTGGGAAGCACGAGGAAGTTCAGTGGAAAAGAGAAGGTGACAAGCGAGGTGAGATTAAAACCTGAAGCGGTCCGGTTTTCATGGGACTAAGTCCGAAGGTGGCGGACATATCAACCGCCGCATCGGAAGGTGTGGTGACATCAAATGCTTGTAAAAGACCGGCGAGGGTAAGGAGTGTCATTTGGAGCCCAAATGCGATGCCAGGACATGCCCTTCTTCCTGCCCCAAACGGAATGAGCTCAAAATGGTGACCTTTCACGTCAACCTCCTTGTGCGTCCCCATAAACCGTTCTGGTCTAAACTCCGATGCCTCAGACCAAACCCTTTGGTCTCTCTGCAACTTCCATAAGTTCAACATCAAGCGTGTGCCTGCTTCTATATGGTACCCCCCTAAAGTGCAGTCTTCCGTGAATTCGCGTGGACCCGACAGTGGCCCCGCCGGGTATAATCGGAGCGTCTCTTTTACTACTGCTTGAAGATACTCTAATTTGTTTATATCTGTTTCGCTCACCAGCCTATCCTTTCCCACCTTCGCGTCTAACTCATCCTGGACTTTCTTCAGCACATCGCGATGATTCAGTAATAAAGAGAGTCCCCATATCAGGGTGACTGCGGTGGTATCTGTTGCCCCTGCCATTATTATCTGCATACGTGCAGTATAACAATTTTAATATTAATTACACAATCTAATATGATGATGAATTGAGTCAGCCAAATATTACTCGTACCGAGCAGGTTGCTTTGATGACAGTATCAGCATCATAGCCACCGAGATCAGCGCGGTGAACCACGGACAACATGACATCGATGAAGTCCTGCTCTGTTTTAAGCACACCCGAGGCTCTCTTCTGACGATTTTCCTCCAACCATTGACACATAATCTTGTCCATTTCTTTGGCCGTTTTTTTCATCTCCTTTACGTAACCACCGAAATCAAGCCACCCTAGAAATGGAAGTGCGTCTCCCAGCACGACAAGTCCCATCAAGCGGAAGAACTCCCTGAACACATCCAGCCACCGCCTCACCTCTTCCTCGTCTACGTCTTCCCCGGAGTACCTCTTTCCGGTGATCATTCTCAGAATCACGTTCAGATTCGTGTCTCCAAACCATCGCTTCATCTCCATCGGAACAGTGCCGGAGTCGTCTCTTTTATTGGCCCAGAATTTGTATATCTCTTTCAACGAGCTATGTACCTCGGCATCTCGGATATGTCCAAAAATTTCGCATCGGCGAGTGGAGAGTAACTCGGAAGCCGTGATCTTACGCATTTCGCGCCAGAAAGAACCGTAAGGGGAGAAGCCAAAGCTAGCATAGTCGTATCCAAGGATTTTAGCAGCTGTGAACTTGGGACGAGAAGAGACGATGACGTCATGGGTGGTGAAGCATTCCTTGGCTACCTCCCAACTGCTCACCACGACGGCTTTGCGGATCCCGAGTCGGATGCCAAAAATTGGTCCATACTTATCAGCCAAATCTCCCAAGGTCACGTGAGGCTGCCCAGAAGCACCAAAGATGGGAAGATGACCAATCAGAGGCCACCCGCCGGCAGCTTCTGGAGGCTTTCGAGGATCCTCCTCAACGCATAGTATAAAACGAACGCTACTGCGATCAATCCGGCAATTATGGCTCCATCAAGATACTGAAGCATCATACTCATGGCGATTTGAGCTCCGTAAGTGATACCTCTAATGGAATTAATGAATTGTGTTTGATGTCGGGTGATGATGTACTGACTGGCGGGGTGGATTTTGGATTTTTATGGGCTCAAGTCTAGTGGAATCGTTTCCATCCTGATTTGTCAAAAATTATCCCATTAACCCAGTGCTTTTAAAATACTCCTGCAACACCTTTGAGTTGGTTTTGGTCCTAAATATATGACCCTTTTATCATATTTATCAATTTTCTTTAAATTATCTCTATGGATACTTCATCAACCATAATCAAGTAGAAAATAGAGAGAGGTATTAAGAAAGATGATTATGGTATTTTAGGAAAAACGTGTCACAATTTTTATAATTAACTGACTTACCTAACTTCTTTAATTTAATCAAATTAGTTAAATAGGTCCTATATTAAGGATAGTAAGAGTATATTTTTTCGCAAAATTGAGGTAATCTCCCTCCGTTTGTTCATGCGACCAAAAGGTCACCGGTGCGGTCTTATCCAAAATCCCTCCTGTATGTTGCCCCTTTGTCAGGAGCTCATTGATGCGTTATTGTCTTTTTGGCCATCATATTTGAAATTAGTGGGACTATTTAATCAAGCATCGCCCGTTAGATTGATTTATTAATTAAAAAGTCAATAATAATTACTCCTTCGGTCTTTAATATAAGACCCATTTAACTAATTTGATTAGATTAAGGAAGTTAGGTAAGTTAGTTAATTATAAGAAAAGTGACACATTTTTTCTAAAATACCATAATCATCTTTCTTAATACCCCTTTTCTTCTTCTACTTGATTATGGTTGAGGGAGTATCTATAAGGGTAATTTAGAGAAAATTAATAAATATGAGAAATGGGTCCTATATTTAGGATCAAAATCAACTCAAGAATTGGGTTATATATTAAAGACCGGAAAAGTACGATAAATTTGCATCTTAAACACTAGAACAGTATTTCAACAACTAAATAGAATATTATTATATATAGCGATAGTGTTTAACGTTCAGTGCATATCAGGTGTAGAATATCGTTTTACCAAAGATATAAGCGCGCGCGCGGGCGTGTTTTACTCTTTTTTAACCATCACTTCACGGTAAACATCATATGAATTTTTATTAGGGATAATTAATATGTAAGTATTTATAATTTTAACTAGTTTTTAATCAAGTCTTTATAATCATTTTTCTTTTTATCATATCCTTATAATTTTATATATTTTTAATTAGGTCTTTATAATTTTTTTTCTTTCTATCACGTCCTTATTATTTTACCTTATTTTTTATTAGGTCCTTGTAGTTTTTATTCTTTATTCTATAAACAATAATATTCTGTAAATAATAAATTATTATAATAATTTTATGTTAATATTCTTTTAAAATTTTAAGTTAAACATATATATTATTTATTTTTCAATTCTAATTTTTATAATTAAAAAATTGAAATTATAATAATACAATTTTCTAAAATTAGAATGTAATTATAAATAATTTATAGTAATAATTGATTATTCTAATTTATTATTAATTACTTAATGATTATATTAATTATTTTGTCCAATTATATAATTATTAATTAAAAAATAAAATTAATTTTAAAGAAAAAATTGAATAAATAATTTTTTTAAACTACAAATGACCTAATTAAAAAATAAGTGAAACTATAAGGACCTGATAAAAAAAAAGAGACCTAATTAAAAACACGTGAAGATAAAAAGATATGATAAAAAGAAAAAAAATTATAAATACCTGATTAAAAATCAAATAAAATTGTGAAGACCCTGGGATTAATTATCTTTTTTTATTATTATAACACTGTTAACTCTTGCTGAAAATGTTACATTAGCCTCTATTGATGTCTGGCAATTTAATACATAATACGTAAAGAACATATACATATAAAACTAATACACTAAAAAAATATTATATTTTAAGTAAACTTTATTATCATGACGAATATAATACTTTTATTATTATGGAACAAAAAATATATTGTACTACCTCCGATTCTAATTATAAAATTTCATTTGCCATTATAAATGAAGTCTTATAATTAGAATCGGAAGTAGAACTAAAGATGCAAGATAACAGCAAGGTTACGCTTTAATTTTTTTTAATACTTTTCTTTATAAATGATAATAAATTTCATTCATTCCTACCAAAAATATGCTTACATTATATTATACGAAAATCGACAAATGAAAGGAATAATTAGAGGCCGCAATTACAATAAATAGAAGCTGATATAACCATAAAAACACGTTTTGTTGAAAAATCTTTTTATCACATCTTTGTTTTCAACTTTACACGTTTCAGCTTCTGTTTGATCATTATATAACTTATGAGAGTACAGTTTATATAGCGGAGATATTCCTGCTGTGAATATAGACATGCATTTCTCAATTTCCATGTATGATATAAATGGATATATCAGCACTAAATTTTGTGATTGTGTCGTTAATTATTCCATCCAATCATGTAAGTTATATTACACAGTTAATTAATTAATTAATTAATGTAAATATACTCAGCTTGTTCATTAAATAAACCAACAATGTGTTTTTATTTTGCAAGAAACAAAACAAAGCATGACTAAAAACCGGAAGAAGAAAGTACATGATAAGATGAGCCAATGCTCCTCTTACTCATAATTACGCAGGAGAATTTAAAATACGCCGTGCATCAAGCACAGGTTCTTAAAATAACCTTCCAACTAAAGAATTTTTTGATCTCTGTGTACCGTCCATGAGTCGATTCCCAACCGGGTGCCTGCTGCCACACGATAACCACTCACATTATAATCTTTTATTATTTTCGGTTTTTAATATAAGAGTTAGTTTAATTAATCTGAGTTAATTAATAAAATTAGTTAAGTTAGTTAATTATAAATTTGTAATAAATAGATGTTGATTTTCCTAAAATATCTTCAGTTAGAACTACAATTTGATAAAATATTTAATATGTGTAATTACTGCAATGACAACCTTAAAATAAATAACTAAATAAATACGTGAAACAAAATAAATTAAAATCTTATATTTAAAACTAAATTAGTTTTTATTTTAAGAATAGGAAGTAGTATTAGTTACTGGTTATTTAGTTTCCTGAAGGCGCGCAAGCCTATTTTGTTCTGACTCCTCAACTCGCAGATCCTTTCCTACATTCAGGTCCAATTCTTCTCGTGTGCCTTCCGCTGTACATGGAGATTTCGGAGCAGCAAAGAGATGGCCCACGTAAGCATACCTCCCGTAGTATCACTGCCGCCAAGAACAAGAGCCTGCGTTGCGTAACATATACACGTACATAAGGTCACAATTTTTTTTTGCTTTTTGGGGGGGGGGGGTATAACAAATAAAAAAAAAAAAACATGAGCAGATTGCACGTGACGCCAGGAGTATTGCGAGGACGTGATATGTATTGTGTATATGTATCGCATTTTATACACCTCTATCTCACGCACACAGCAATTTTTCCCGATCCCTCCCGGGTAACAACATCGCTTACCATGAATTATTTGAATGCGAGTATCTAAATCGGCACGTTGTTCAATGAAATGCGAGTCGAGGAAAATGACGGTTTTGTGTATATTTGGGGAGTGTGGACCGGGCCTGAAAGTGGGGCTTCGGCCCACAAGGAAATGGACCAGGTAATTATATATAACGTTCCCTACCCCAAGAATAGATGGCGAACGCTGAAAAAACTAGATGGCTTTGACGCTCGCAAGGAAGGGTACGGCCCTAGCATAAGCCGCGGTTAACAGCAGCTGAGCTTTCCCTTCCAATAGACAACGAAGGCGGAGCAGCTGCCGATCAGTCCTTAATACCGACATTCTCAAATAATTAGAACGCCAGGCAACTAATAATCCTCCCGATTTTCCGACACTAGTAGAAGCAGAGAAGCCATCGAAACCCAACGTGTTCAGTTGATTGAAACTGGTTGCATCCTCGCATCTGGTTTCTGTCAAGATAATGATGTTGGGCTTTAGCCCATTGAGCGCAGTCTTCAACTTTCTAATGAAGCTTTTATTACGCACTCCTGTCCGGAGCAATTGAGATCTGTTGAACAGTGATAGTTCCGAGTTTGACTCTGGCATTATGTAATTTGGGCTCTAGCCCTCCTTCTATACCAAAACAAAAAGAAAGGAGAAGATAGCGAACGCTGAACGACAGCGAAAACGAATTGTATTGCCTCCCCAAATATGAAAGCATGCGTGTGCATCTTGTGTTTTCTCTGTCACTAAAGCTTTGTTTACGCACATGCACATAAGCTTGCTTCCCCGCCTCTTTAATTTTGCGTCTCATCCTCAATCAATACAATAAAACGAATTGTCTAGCCTCCCCAAACAAGTGCTACCGGTGATTAATATAACAGTCAGTAAGAGTTTTAATTTGATTTTAAATATAATATTTTAATTAATTTTGTCTCCCTTATTATTGTTAATGTGCTCTTTTAATTTATTTTTTAATTTTAATATATAGTTAATAGCTTAATCTTTTCTTAGATTTTGAAGTTTAGATGACAAGTGAAGGTAAAAATATAATTTAAAATAATAATATTAATAAATAATGTGATTTTTAAATCTTAAAAATATAAAAAAAATAGGAAAGAAAAATTTTGTTCCAAGAATGATAAATTAACTAATTTACATATTATGTTAATTCAAGTATGATATCCTCTTTATTCATTACTCCCTCCGTTCCTTATTATAAGAGACATTTGATGCTTATGGTATGTTCCTATATATAAGAGACACTTAAAAGTTGTCTCTACTTTTTTGTGTTGATTTCCTATTTTACCATATTTATTATCTCCAACTCACACTCTCTCTCCCTCCCACTTCTCTTTCTTTTAATATTTTAATTATTCTCTCTCCTACTCTCTTTGCTTATTAATGAGGGTATTTTTGGAAAATAAATTATACTTTTTACACATTAATTGTTCTTAACTAATTTTAACTGTTTTTTTTATCAACGTATTTCGGTTATTTGTCTCTTATAATAAGGAACGGAGGGAGTATAAAATTAGTATTTTTTTCCTCTTTATTTATTTGTCTTAATTTTAATTTTTTGTGTGTACTTAAACGTAGTCTTATTCTAAATTTTAACATATAATTACAATTAATTTTCAATAACATTCTTATAAATTATAATTAAAATTTAAAATAGTACTTATAATACTAAAATTTAAATAAAAGACAAGACTAAAAATTTAATTATTATATACGTTTTTTTTAATCTTAGCTTTTTTAAAAAAATAATTATTATAATTTGAATTTTTTAAAAATACAGGCCTTTTAACAGATTTCAGGCCAGGTTCAAGCTGAAAAATAAGCCTATAACAGGCCACAGGCCAGGCTCAGGCCAATAGACTCCAAAACAGGCCTGGCCTGTTAAGAGCAAGGCCTGGTCTGTTTCCATCCTTAGCCATCGAGAATAGAAAGCAAAACGTCCATGAAGTCTAGGTCACCGGCGGAGGCTCTCTTGCGGCGGTGCTCCTCTAACCACTCTTCTAAAATAGAGTCGAGTTGCTTCGCAGTTTTCTTCATGGCCTTCTCATATCCACCCAAATCCAGCCATCTAAGACAAGGAAGAGCTCCTCTAACCATTCTCATACTATTGATTGCAAAGTTGATCCATTCTTTACCACTAATCAGATTCACTTTGTCTTTTTATCGGTGCGATGGGGCACCCCTGATTTTCTGTACAGAAGAGAAATACTGTAGCAAAAATTTCCATTCGGGTCTTATTGACCAATGGGATATGGATAGAATCATAAAACCTATCTTTTGATGTGACCTATTACAGCTTTACGTGTCCTCGGGACTGATAGATTCCACTTCTTCTCATCACCTATTTTGTCATTACTTTACGGTCTGTGTGGATTTTATAGATGTTCAGCAACTCACATAACATACGCAACCGCAGCGTTGCCAGTTAGGTTAAAACCAAAAAAAAACTCTACTAGTTTTTAATGTAAAACTTAATTATTGAGTTGGTTTTGATTTTAAATATAAAATGTATTTATTATATTTATTAATTTTTTTAAATTACCTCTATAAATACTTTCTCAACTATAACCAAGTAAAAGAAGATGGGATATTAAAAAAGATGATTATGATATTTTAGGAAAAAAGTATCATATTTTTTATAATTAACTAACTTACCTAATTTTCTTAATCTAATCAAATTAGTTAAATAGATCTTATATTAAAAATCAGAAAATTATTTAAAGTTGTCTGTTAAGGATGACTTGGCTGGCAAAGAATGATGCAATGTCAAATTCAATACTTTATTCTGCTGGCGAATATGATTTTGGGCAAAAACATATATGGTGTGTAATTTAGTTAAATTTTAAGCAAAGGTGTAAAGGCAGTTGCTTCATATAATCTCACACGACGTAGAAACCACCACTTACATAGGTACACGACACACACACACCCACACCCACACCGACCCACCTCATACATTTTGATTTTTCAACTTTAGCGGGCAATCCAACACAGAATATATTACACTATAGTGGACCCGTGGCCTGGGGAAGCACGAGGAAGTTCAGCGGAAAAGAGAAGGTGACAAGCGAGGTGAGAATAAAACCTGAAGCGGGTCGGTTTTGATGTGAGTAAGTCCGAAGGTGGCGGACATATCAACCGCCGCATCGGAAGGGGTGGTGACATCAAATGCTTGTAAAAGACCGGCGAGGGCAAGGTGTGTCATTTGGAGCCCAAATGCGATGCCAGGACATGCCCTTCTTCCTGCCCCAAACGGAATGAGCTCAAAATGCTGACCCTTCACGTCAACCTCCTTGTGCGTCCCCATAAACCGTTCTGGTCTAAACTCCGATGCCTCTGACCAAACCCTTTGGTCTCTCTGCAACTTCCATAAGTTCAATATCAAGCGTGTGCCTGCTTCTATATGGTACCCCCCTAAAGTGCAGTCTTCCGTGAATTCTCGTGGACCCGACAGTGGCCCCGCCGGGTATAATCGGAGCGTCTCTTTTACTACTGCTTGAAGATACTCTAATTTGTTTATGTCTGTTTCGCTCACCAGCCTGTCCTTTCCCACTTTCGCGTCTAACTCATCCTGGACTTTCTTCAGCACATCGCGATGATTCAGTAATAAAGAGAGTCCCCATGTCATGGTGACCGCTGTGGTATCTGTTGCCCCTGCCATAATTACCTGCAAGCGCGCACTATGACAATTTTAATATTAATTACACAATCTAATATGATGATGAATTGAGTCAGCCAAATATTACTCGTACCGAGCAGGTTGCTTTGATGACAGTATCAGCATCATAGCCACCGAGATCAGCGCAGTGAACCACGGACAACATGACATCGATGAAGTCCTGCTCTGTTTTAAGCACACCCGAGGCTCTCTTCTGACGATTTTCCTCCAACCATTGACACATAATCTTGTCCATTTCTTTGGCCGTTTTTTTCATCTCCTTTACGTAACCACCGAAATCAAGCCACCCTAGAAATGGAAGTGCGTCTCCCAGCACGACAAGTCCCGTCAAGCGGAAGAACTCCCTGAACACATCCCGCCACCGCCTCACCTCTTCCTCATCTACGTCTTCCCCCGAGCACCTCTTTCCGGTGATCATTCTCAGAATCACGTTCAGATTCGTGTCTCCAAACCATCGCTTCATCTCCATCGGAACAGTGCCGGAGTCGTCTCTTTTATTGGCCCAGAGTTTGTATACCTCTTTCAACGAGCTATGTACCTCGGCATCTCGGATATGTCCAAAAATTTCGAAGCGGCGAGTGGAGAGTAACTCGGAAGCCGCGATCTTACGCATTTCGCGCCAGAAAGAACCGTAAGGGGAGAAGCTGAAGTTAGCATAGTCGTATCCAAGGATTTTAGCAGCTGTGAACCTGGGACGAGAAGAGACGATGACGTCATGGGTGGTGAAGCATTCCTTGGCTACCTCCCAACTGCTCACCACGACGGCTTTGCGGATCCCGATTCGGATGCAAAAAATTGGTCCATATTTGTCAGCCAAATCTCCCAGGGTCACGTGAGGCTGTCCAGAAGCACCTAGGATGGGAAGATGACCAATCAGAGGCCACCCGCCGGCAGCTTCTGGAGGCTTTCGACGATCCCTCCTCAATGCATGGTATAAAACGAACGCCACTGCGATCAATCCGGCAATTATGGCTCCGTCAAGATACTGAAGCATCATATTCATGGCGATTTGAGCTCCGCAAGTGATATCTCTAATGGAAAAAAAGAAATTGTATTTGACGTCGGGTAATGGTGGACTACTGGCGGGGTGGATTTTGGATTTTTATGGGCTCAAGTCTAGTGGAATCGTTTAGTGCTTTTAAAATACATTTTTTCCCAAAATTGAGGTCATCTCCCTCCGTTTGTTCGTGCGACCAAAAGGTCACCAGTGCGGTCTTATCCAAAACCCCTCCTGTAAGTTGCCCCTTTGTCAGGAGCTCATTGGTGCATTGTTTTTCTTTTTGGCCATCAAGTTTGAAATTAGTGGGATTATTTAATCAAGCATCGCACATTAGACTGATTTATTAATTAAAAAGACAATACTAATTATGACAAATTGGCATCTTAAACACTAGAACATTATTTGAACTACTAAATAGAATATTATTATGTATGGCAGTAGTGCTGTAACTTTCACCGTATGTCAGGTGAATCATGTAGCTTTACCAAAGCTATAAGTGCGCGCGCGCGGGGGCGTGTTTTACACTTTTTTAACCATCACTTCACGGTAAACATCATATGAATTTTTATTATTATAACACTATTAACTCCTGCTGACAATGTTGCGTTGGCCTCTGTTGAAATGTGCCAACTTAATACATAATATATAAAAACATATATATAACTAATATACTAAAAAAAACATATTATATTTTAAGTAAACTTTATTATCACGATGAATATAATAGTTTTACTCCTCATGTCCTTAATATATGACCCAATTGTTGAGTTGATTTTTGTCCTAAATATAAGACTCATTTTTCATATTTATCAGTTTTTTCTAAATTATTCCTATGGATACCTCCTCAATCATAATTAAATAGAAGAGAGAGGGGGTATTAAGAAAGATGATTATGGTTTTTTAGGAAAAAAGTGTCACATTTTTTATAATTAACTAACTTACCTAACTTCCTTAATCTAATCAAATTAATTAAATGGGTCTTATATTAAGGATCGGAAGAGTATTATTATAGAACAAAAATATATTATACTACCTTCGGTTCTAATTATAAAATCCCGTTTGTAAGCTACAAATAAGATCTTATAACTATGATTGGAGGTAGTACTAAAGATGCAAGATAGCAGCAAGGTTACACTTTAATTTTTTAATACTTTTTTTTATAAATGATAATAAATTTTATTAATTACGACCAAAAATATGCTTACATTATATTATACGAAAATTGACAAGTGGAAGGAATAATTAGAGGCCGCAGTCTACGAAGGGTTCCTCTCACATAAAAACTTACAATAAATAGAAGCTGATGTAACAATAAAAACACGTTTTGTTTAAAAATCTTTGTCACATCTTTGTTTTGAACTTTACACGTTTCAGCTTCTGTTTTATCATTATATAACTTATGAGAGTACAATTTATATAGTGGAGATATTCCTGCCGCGAACGTATACATGCATCTCTCTTTCCATGTATGACATAAATGGATACACCAGCCTCTCTGCTAAACTGTGTTGTTCATTATTTCATCCAATCATGTAAGCTATATTACGCTGTTAATTAATTAATGTAAATATACTCAGCTTGTTCGTCAAATAAACCAGCAATGTTTTTTATTATGCAAGAAACAAAATAGAGCATGGACTAAAAGCCGGAAGAAGTAAATACATGTGATAAGATGAGCCAATGCTCCTCTTAATCGTAATTATGCAAGAGAATTTAAAATACGCCGCGCATCAAGCACAGCTTCTTAAATAACCTTCCAACTGTAGATTTTTTTTATCCCTGTGCATCTTCCATGAGTCGATTCCCAAGGGGGTGCCTGCTGCCACAGGATAACCACTCACGTTGCAATCTTCTGTTACTTTTGATACAGAGGTCGTTTAATTTTTATTTTAGTTATAAATATAATATTTTAATTCACTTTATTTCTCATATTTATTTATTTTTTTTAAATATGTTTTTTATAATAATGATAGTTCTAGCTAATATACTTGATTAATAAGGACAATTCGTGAAAAACAATACATATTTATTACAAATAACTAACTTAATTAGTTTTATTAATTTACTCATATTAGTCAACTAGCTCTTACATTAAAGACCGGAGGTAGTATAAGAGCTTACTTAACTAATCTGAGTTGATTAATACAATTAGTCAGGTTAATTATTTATAATAAATAGGTGTTAACTTTTCTAAAATATTCTTCCTAATCAAGTGTGTTACTTAAAACTACTACTTAATAAAATATTTAATATGTGTAATTGCTGCAATGACTATCTTCAGAAAAAATAAATAAATTAGAGTGTTATATTTAGAACTAAATTAAAAATTAAATTAGTTTTTGTTTTAAAAATAAGAAATAGTATTAGTAATTACACTTCTGTTTCTAAATATAAAATTTTTATATATATTAATATTAGTATAAAGATTTTATATTTAAAATTAGAGGAGTAGTTATTTGGTTTTCTCCAAGCCCAAGGCACGCAAGCCTTTTTTGTTCTGACTTATCAGCTCGAACATCCTTTCCTACGTTCTGGTCCAATTCTTCTCGCGTGCCTTCCTCGGTACATGGCCATTTCTAAGCAGCAAATAGACGGCCCACGTAAGCATGACTCCCTTAATATCACTGCCGCCAGGAATAAGAGCCTACGTTGCGTAACATATACACATCTATAAGGTCACAATTTTTTTTTGGGGGGGGGGGGGGGAGAAATCATGACAAAGACAAAAAAAAACAAAAAGAGCAGATTGCCCGTGACGGCAGGAGGAATATTGCGAGGACGTGATATGTATTTATTTATGTATCGCATTTGTATATCTGTTCAGGCCAGGCTAGGTTTTGCTCTTAGCCTGTGACCTGTTACAGGTTTATTTTTTAGCCTGAGCCTGACCTGTATAAAGGTTTGGCCTGGCCTGAAACTTGTTAAAAGGCTTGTATTTTTAAAAAATTCAAATTATAATAATTATTTTTTTTAAAAAGCTAAGATTAAAAAAAACGTACATAATAATTAAATTTTTAGTCTTGTCTTTTATTTAAATTTTAGTATTATAAGTACTATTTTAAATCTTAATTATAATTTATAAAAATATTATTGAAAACTAATTGTAATTATATGTTAAAATTTGGAATAAGACTATGTTTAAGTAATAAGTACACACAAAAAATTAAAATTAAGACAAATAAATAAAGAGGAAAAAAATACTAATTTTATAATGAATAAAGAGGATATCATACTTAAATTAACATAATACGTAAATTAGTTAATTTATCATTCTTGGAACAAAATTTTTCTTTCTTATTTTCTTTATATTTTTAAGATTTAAAAATCACATTATTTATTGATGTTATTATTTTAAATTATATTTTTATCTTCACTTGTCATCTAAACTTCAAAATCTAAGAAAAGATTAAGCTATTAACTATATATTAAAATTTAAAAATAAATTAAAAGAGTACATTAACAATAATAACATTAATTAATTTTTTCATATATTATGATTATAAATTCCTAATAGGTCCAGGCCGGTCTAACAGGCTTAACAGGCTTTTTAAAAAGTTTAAGCCTGACCTGTTTAACTAAACAGGCCTTCAAACAGGCCTGAGCCTGTCTTTTTTGAAAACAAACCAGACCAAATACAGACCAGACTATAGGCCCCTGACAGGTCACCTGACCTGTTTCCACCCTTACTCACGCACACACCAATTTTTCCCGATCCCTCCCAGGTAACAACACCGCTTACCATGAATTATTATTTGAATGCGAGTATCTAAATCGGCACGTCGTTCAATGAAATGCGAGTAGAGGGAAATGACGGTTTTGTATATATTTGGGGAGTGTAGACCGGGCCTGAAAGTGGGGCCTCGGCCCACAAAGACATGGACCAGGTAATTATATATAACGTTCCCCACCCCAAGAGTGGATAGCGAACGCTGAACGACAGCGAAAACGAATTGTCTTGCCTCCCCAAATATGAAAGCATGTGTGCGCGTCTCGTGTCTTCTCCCTGTCAAGAAAAAGCTTGGTTTACGCACATGCACATAAGCCTTCTTCCCCACCTCTTTAATTTTGCGTCTCATCCTCAATCAATACAATAAAATATCTCCCATATATAGACAACAATTATATCTCTAACTATATATATGCAGTTTTGGAAAGATTCCTTCGTCGACACATTATTCCTTGTATTTTCTGTGGTGCGAGGTTAGTCGTTATTTTTACTAAGTTCAGATCATTTACTAATTCATTCGAATGATTCAGATTTATTTAGAATAATTCTCTTCCAATATGAGTTATTTTCTTATAAATAAATTAAAGAACCTAAATCCATCTCTTTCGCATGATTTACCCACAGATAAGAGGGGACTAAATAATTTTTCGATAGATGATTGTCAGTTTTCATTTTTTTTTTTTCAAATCTTTTGGCCAGAAGTTTTCATCTTTTCATTAAACCTATTAGGAGACGGAAATCTCTTGAAATGTTTAGTGGGACATGGATCTCGACCCACCTGTCCAATATCATGTCAGGCAGCAATATTGGAATATATGGGTCCTGTTCTGCCCGATTACAAACCAACCATGGTCCATGGCCTGAAAGAACCATTATAAAATCATTGAATCTTCCACTGCCCCCGATAATGACATCAAAGACCATGTCCTCAAGTTCTTGGACTGAAGCATATGTTTCGTAGCAAAATCTTATCTCTTTCCTCCTCCGCTTTTTTCCATCCAGAAAACTCAGAAAGACCTATCATGGAAGGGAACAAAATCGAGAATATTATTATCATTACTGTTAAATTCACGGGCCCCACTCTTGGCTGGCTAGCTGCATTAATTATACATATCCATATCATGTAAGTACGTTCATGACTGGGAAAGGGGCTAGCAGGGTTAGCTGGTGGCGGCCACTTGGGAATGTAACTCCGTTGAAGATTCGGCCTGGTCAGTGTTAGACTAAGGGTCTGTTTGCCAACTGGGTCTTCCGAGTGTGAATTCCAGGTCAAGCTTCATATCCGAACGTGACAAATTGCTACAATCCGACCTCTCCTTCACGCAATTCCACAGCCCTCTACTACCTCCATCCACCTATATATTGACGATATAATTAAAGTAATCATACCTTTTGGATATATATATATATATATATATATATATGTAGTCCATAATGTGAAATTTTACAAGACCGTATAAATGTGTGTGTTTTTGTGCACTACAAGCTCAGCATGGTCCAGCTCTCGATGTATACCTTTGTTTCCTTTGCCTTGAGATCACGAGAATGAGTCAAATCAATTTGGGGCTTTTGTCTGTTGTCATTTTTATTTGTCTCCATTGACGATTGGCACGATGCTCTGTTTGTGTAAAGTAAGAGAAGAATAATTAGCATTAATCTAATAAACATACTCGACAGGTATAATTATATTAAAGCGCCACAATTCATATGTCTAATGTACTCGCATGAATGAGGATGGCAAAATTAGCAGTTTTATTATCACCAGCATAGTGTCCAAAGTCCCCAAATTGTCAAGAAATCTGAAGTGAGATATCTGCTCAACTTGCAAACTACAAGTTAATTAACGTTACATCAATAACATGAGAACAAAAAGCTAGCTAGGTAGCAATTTACGGTAAATGAATATTCATTGGTTTCCGCCAACTTTAATTAAGACTTGCCAATTTCCTTTTGAGTTGATCAATTATTAAGCTCAAAACGTCATTTTTTTCAGATTGCAAATAAAACATGTCGCGATTTCCAAACGTTTGGGATTGACCATATTTATTAGTGTATAAGCTAGCGTTTCTTCTTCTTCTTTTTTTTCCTCCGGGGGGGGTACCGCACGTATAAATGATGATTCGCATTCCGAAAGAAGTCTAGGTTTATTTTGTCAAAATCTATGCTTAATTAGGCTCCCCCCTATAAATAAAAACTCGTAATCATTCGGAAAAGTAAGCAAAGCCCTAAGTCAGATGCGAAAGAAGCAAATACGATAAAAGACTCCACTGAATTAGCTAGATAAGAACTCAACAGTAGCTTCACATTTTCGGAGAGAGAACAAAGTGTTTTTTAAAAATTATTTACGGGGATATTGATCAGTTCACCTGAGGGATTTCTGGAGCGATTGTGGTAATAAACGGGCATCCTCACGGGCTGAAGCTCCATGCACATCCGCATTGTTCTCTGCCCTTTGGCTCAAACCATATCTCTCTGCCCATGACCTGCAATATTCATCACCCATTATTAGAGCAGCTGTTCTTGCTTTATCAGACACCGCCTTAATTATTCACATCAGGACTTTTTGGGTTTTTAATGGGGGACAGTACTAGATTAGATCTCAAACACTGGAATAGCCAAAGATCTCAAACAAAGAGAATAATAGTTGGTGAAATAGCAAATGAAGTCCCTTCCAGGGAAAAACAAATTTACCTGTCCCTTTGTCCGTGCTCTTCACTGTTCTATACATCTGCACGAATACCCGCATAACATAAATGAGAAGAAAAGACCACGAAACTTTTAGATTAAATCCATCGAGATAGTACTAGATATCTTTATCAGTTGTTCCTCAGACTTTATTAGTTTTCGCTTTTCCGAAAGAGAAAAAAAACTGAACTGAACTGAACTGCAATAACTAAAAGACCGTGATGAATGGAAATAATTACATGGAAATTAACAGTGGTAACCCCACCTGCAAGTGACTCTTGACGTGGGCTAAGGTTAGATCTTTAACGTTCATTAACTCTAATACCGACTTTGGCGTAGCCCCTGCCAGTGACAACAACCAAAAATTAGAGCTTTTCCGCAGCAAACAGATTGAAAAGTAAGGGTTAATTATCAGTCTAATCAAAGTATATGCATAATTAGAGTACGCATTTCATGTTTATATATATGATTTACTTTCATGACCACCAAGGAGCTGAACAGCACGAACAAACTGAGCGTGGAGAGTTGTGGTCCACCTCATTCTAGGAGCTCTAACGCTTCTTTTCACACCATTAATGACTCTTGCATTTCGTTTAAAGCTCTGGGCACAAATGCGGGGTTGATGGTTGTGGAAGTGATGGTTAGCGTTTCTTGAGAGCAAAAGATGATGGGGATTCAAATCTGGGGTCTCTAAACCTAGGCTCAACTTCGGCTCAGGATGGCGAAGGTGAAGAAAGCTATTCTCATGGCTCAAGTCACTTCCAGCACTGCTACCAGAATCAGAGGTTGAGCATATATCGTTGTGCAGTGTTTTGCTGGGAACCTCTTTGGCTTCAAAGTCCGAGATACATGGGGGGCTTATGTTTAAGGACAGGTCTGGCAAACTTGTCAAGCTTCGAATTACCGGATGCGATGTAGTGAACATGGTAGAGATTTGGGTCTACTACAGAAGCAGTGGCTTGACAAAGTATAAAAGAAAAAGGGAAAGAAAGAGGGTTGTGAAAGATGGATCTATCAATGACAGCAAGAGGAAGCAGTTGAAGAAGGGGATGAACTGTGATTATATCATGAATGGCTCATGATTTGCGTTGGTGTCGAGGAGGAGGTAGCCTTTTAGTAGGGATCTTACTAGGTAGAGGAAGAAGAGGGAAAATTCCAATGCAGTGACGGAGTGATCGCAGAGATTACTGCCCTCGAGTCAGAGAAAAAAAGCAGGAAAGTAGAAAAAGATGAGGGCTTTTTCAGGGAAGGTGGTTTGAACCAAAAGTTTACGAAAAAGGGTGATACTTATTAATGGAAGCTCAGGGATTAGTCTGTCGTCAGAGGAAAGGCGAGCGAGGAGAAAGAGAAGGGAAATTTGAGGGGTCCGTGTCCATTATCTGTACAAGAGTACTACAACAGGTAAAATAATACAACCTGAGTTGGCTTCCCCTCCGACCTTCTTGAATCTCAACTTGAGTTTAATATATTATAAAATTATTATAATATTAAATGATACAAAATAAATAAAAATTTTATAGTTTTTTTTACTGTTTGGAGTATAATTAAATGAACTTTGAAATACAGTTTAAATTTACTTATCTACTTAATATTATAATAATTTTATAATATATTAAATCTGCAGCTAGGGATGTGATGTGATTCTGCAAAGAATGGTTGGAAATGAAGAAGAAACAAAACGGGTACTGTTCAATGGAATATTGGGAGGGGAATTCATTCTGTGCTTACGTTGATGGAAGGAGACGCATTATAATTCGCCTGCTCTTTTTGTTCCTATCACAATTTAATTCACCTCTTCAACGCCTTTTTCTTGAATTGGAATATTCCCTCATTTCATTACGAACGAGGATTGACCGGCAGGCTCAAATATCCCTGTCCTTGGCTAACTCATGCAACCGATCCATGCTGACGTGGCGTGCAGTAACTCCAAGCAACACCACCTCGCTCCTCGTCCTCCACATCTTTGACCATTCAGCTCTATTCTCCCACGAATCGAATTTCACGATGGTGATGAGTCAGGCTAACATGAATATGTCCAGCCCTTAACCCGTAATTGTCAAACTGAAGAAATCGTCAAAGCCAGCTCGCAAGAAGTGTTAGGCCTTCGGTAGGCACGTGTGGGTAATAAGGAATCGCCAAGAAATATCGAGCTGGACACGTGCGTAAGCCAGTCAATATGAAACTATAATTGATGTTGTGAGGAATAAGATTTGAACAAAAGAAAACAGGAGTGCATTTATGTCGTCAGAGGGGGGTGTGATGTCCGGCGACACTCTAGGGTCACCACCCCACCCACATGACATTTACTCTTCCCTCTGTCGAAATTAAACAAATTAAATTCCTCATCACTCAAGTTGTGGAAATTGTCTGGACGCCTCACTCACACACACGCGCCTCCTTTAGTTGTCTCCGCAACGCCGGAGGGGGAGGTATGATGTGAAGTGAGAATATGAAGGGGGAAGGCGGCGGCGCGTGAGAGGAAGGGGGAAGGAATCGCGTTGGCAAGGTGGGCAATTGTGGAGGGTTAAGTGTAGGACGAAACTGATTGCTATGGCCAATATTCCCTCTCCGTGTCCAAATATTCCGTGTCGAAACGCTCGAGGGGCGAAAAAAGAATAGGAGCGAATTGATCGGCGTCAACCAGGCTTCCGTCACGTGACTTTGGGTGTGACCTTGTCCGTTCCACAGCCTCTTGGCTAAGCTGTACGTTGGGTGCCTTCGATTTCCTTTGGTATTAATTAATTACGGGTATGAACGAGACGAGACGCTTCATTAGTTCATTTGCATGCATTGCTGTGTCTAATTAATGAACCTGCTCCCACTCCCATGCTTCCTCCCCCTTTGTTTTATTCCGTTTGGTTTTGTCGGTTGTGACCACGATATCAATTAGGAAATATGTTAGTGATTTGTTTATCGTTTTGGAAGCCACGGTCAGCGCCTGATGCGCTCTAGATTCTCCTGCCGTTGAATTTTATTATCATCATCATCATCATTATCATATCCTTCCCTTTTTAAACAATCAAGCTTCATATTATTCCCTCATTCCATGGTTGTTTTGGACGATATTGCACAATCTCTACGGTCAACATGTCGTTCCCTCCCTCGCTTGCACTGTTGTCAAACGCTTTGGCTCTATCTCTCTCAAGAGAATCAACCTCTCTCTCTCTCCTCCCTTCTTATTCGTCTTACTAGTTAATTTCTTATGAATTTAATAATTTTAATTTAATTGATACATGCAAAACATGGTAGTGGCATCCCTTTCTCCAGAATTAACGTAATTTTATATCATTCGCATAGGGCATAACTCGAATTATGGGTCTCATCTCACGGATACAGCTGTGATATAACAAGTGTAATTATAAAATCAACTTTAACATGAAACGTAAATTCAATTCTAAATAATTTAAATTTAAATTACGCACTCAATCACTCAAATAATCCGATACAAATAGTCAAATTACACAGTAAAAAAAAAATCCTCAGCGGAGCCACATAATCTGGCTTCCTGCGTAATTCATACATTAATGGAGATTTTTATATAATTAGGAGATCATAATTAATAAGCATATTTTTCAAAGAAAGCAAGTACGTATAACGAAGTAGTACGCAGTTAACTTCGAATAATTAGTGCACCTCCAGCAAGAACGTGATGTGAAAGCTGCACACTGATGGTATTGTGAATTGGTAATAATTAAGTGTACGTTATCGTTGACCTTTGGATTGATGCTTGTGTATGTTTAACTGTGACTGGCGATTCTGGTTCATATGCACGCTGCCCTCCATTGAATTATCACTACCAGCGTGACAGGCATGCGCAGCGGTGCACCACTACTAGCACAGTCTGATGAAATGCCATGACTAATTGCTGTTCAAAAGCAGCATGTCACTCGTATATATATATGGCATCTATCTGGGGGGTGATCTGATATATATTGCAAGGATTTATAAACATAAAGTGGTTAGTTTTAATAAAGTCAATTAGAGAGCATGAAATCCCATGGACAATGTAAATAATAAGGAAACAACTTGAAAAGTGAAGAATCAAACACCATGTTATATGAACGAAGGAGGGCAGGTTGAACTTTTGGTTTGAAATACACATGGATGAAGTTGCATTAGGTAAGATGGGGTGTACCTAGATAGGAACAAAAGTTTGAAAGGGGAAACTAAAGCGTCAATAATTATAGTACGAAATTGATGAGTAGGATGCGGAGATAACGTTGAGATTTGAGACACGGTGAAAGTGGGTGGGGTATTCTAATGTGAAGTATACTCGAGATTTGAGCAGGGATTCATATAGAAAATGCAAATGCCTACTAGCAAGTGAGAAGTAAAACAGGAGGAGCAGATGCAAGAATATATTAGGTTCGTCATATTGGGGAGATAGATCAGAATGGAACAGACGCATAAGCATGTGTTAGCTTCGGTATTTGAGTTCAACCTTCACAATTCTCCCCTCCCTAGCTAGCTTATCTCCTTTGGGTGCCAACGAAACGACAAAAGGCAAAGCAAGGAATCCCCCGAATCAACGCCGTTTAGGCTGATGTGCTCTGCGCCACGACATTCATTGTCACACACACACGCACCCACATTTATTTATTCTATGCTTTATTATAAAAATTAATGAACCTCCATGCATCTCTTCCAGCAATAATTATTTTATTATTATTACTATTTGTTATGCCGCTATGGTATTTGCTATAGCTAGCTTGTTCACTGAAGTTGAATCAAAATCACCAAGATCTTTTGCCTTTCTATGGCAGCTTTTAGGCAACAGCGCAACACAAACACTGCAGGCAATGTTTACTCAACTTTTTAATCATGAGATAATAATGTGCCTAATATGACTTCTCAAAATAAGGTCAAAACTCCCAATCTCTACCTGTCCCTTCCTTTGAAATCACAAGTTCTTTCCTTCGCATCGACACAAGAAGCTGCAGGTTGCACGGCTTCCAAAGCGTCATATATACAAATGTGCACGCAATCCTAAACAAATTAAGCTGAAACTGAAACGAGGTCAATTATTAGTTAATCATCGGCTCATCACACGCTATAACAAGAAAGAATTGAGAACCAAGCACTTACTCGAATCTGTAATTAAGTGGATCACGATGTCATATTTGAGAACTTGATCCATCACACATCGTCAGAGTCATGTACATAACTATTAGTATGAATCGGCTCGAGCCGACAGAGGTGTGGGAAGGTGCTAGGATAAAGATGGTGCGGGCTTGCAGTGGAAACAAAGGAAAGTAGTGGGTAGAGTGTACATATAAGTAAATTCGTGGGGAGAAGTAATAATGGGAATGTGGACCAATGTGAAAAAGGTACGTGTTAGGGCAGAGGGATTAGAAGTGCTAAATATACACAAGTATGGTGAGTGGACTGCATAGGCAAAGTGCATATAAGAGCATCTGCATGGTGTCAGAAGAGGACAACTCCCATCACTACACAGATCGTCATGTGCCTCCATTCAGTTTTTTGTTGCACACTCATTTCACTTTCATTCCCCACTTCCCTTTCTCTTCACTTTCATTCCAGTACTTGCCATGTTCACTTGACAAAATTCATAATATCGTCAGCTAACCAATAAAATCTCCCCAAAAATTGACAACTTACAGCTTCTTCAAAGAATTATTTTTGCCCGCTTTGGTTTCAGCTTGACAGGCAGATGGCCGATGTAAAAGCAAAACAGTGTAGCATACATGCTGAAATTCTCATCTTGATTTGGTGGATTATGTTCACTACCTTATCTTTTCGTTTCTGTTAATCTGACAAATTCTGTCATTTCTAGAAGGGCAATGGCCCTCTTTCTTCTTTCGTTCCTTTCTTTTTTGTTGTGGTTTTTTTTTGGGGGGGGGGGGGGCGGGGGAAATGCTTCTGCCTAACTGATCAAGTTATGAATTAGGCAAATTAAATCTTGAAATGGAACTATATATATCTTTGGACGTCGAGCACAGACACATTATTATATTGTTGCGCATCTTTTTTTGTGGCCTAGTTGATTCTTCACTCGTATATACGCAGTTTAAGTACTAAGGTGTGACTAGTTACAGAGAATTCATAGCAAAATTAAGAAAAGGCCAACCGAATTGTCGTCGTTGTTGACTTGGGTGAGGTGATAGGTGCCCGCTTGCTCATATTGTAGAGTTCGTAGCTAGGATAGCTCGATATAAAGGTATAATTTAATTTAGTGTTGATGAGAAGCATAGAAAAGGACAGATAGTAAAGAGAGTTTTGCCGCACTATGAGTCGTTTGGGCAAGAAGTCTGCCCACTTGCTGAATTTTGTGTTTCCAGCCAATCTCCGATTGTTGACTTAAGGATAAGAAAAGTAAGCAGGGGAGGTGAGATGAGAATGCATGCGAGCTCAGCTATCAATTTACGCCCAGTGATAAACTCACGGCATGCAAACATTGGGAACAAGGCAGGCCTGGAATCTGACGTGGATCATCCCTCCATCTGCCATGAGCTTAATTTGCATGCATGCATAGATGCATATCATCCCTCCTCCCCTGTTTCTTAGCCCTTCGGAGTCAAACTTTTCCAACTCAGCACAAATCCCTTCCAAAGACGTCCAGGCATGGATTCTTCATAATCATCATCCTTACATGATACTCCTATGGTTGTATTTATAGCACAGAGAGAGAAGACGTTTTTTGGTCATATTTATAGGACATTGAGAGAAATTTTTTTTATATTTGTACAATTTTATCCCTCATTTACTATTATGTTGATTTTGTTTACATTAGGTATAATATATATTAAATAGCGATCAAGTTAGAAAGTTATTAAATTTTAGATGAAAATTAATGAAGTTTAAAATTTTTCTTAGTCTATATAAAATATACTGAAAGTGTCTTATAAATAGGATCAGAAGAGTATATAGCATGAATCCCACATAGAATGTGGTTTGCCTTCAAATGAGTGCCCATCCACCACCAGATGATGGTCCCTTTAAGTTCTATCACTTCTGGCCTTTGGCAAATTATCGCCGCCACGACAATTTCAAAGTTGATGTTTAATCAGGTTCGTGTATTTTCAACTTTTACACAATAAATTCAACTGTCTTCATATTCGGTTTCCGAAGCCCAAATCATGAAGCCCACGTCTGAATTCCCCCAAATGTTATGTTGGGGTGACCTCAGGTCTGCTAAGTCTAAAATAAAAACAAAAACTATGCTTTTGGAAGCCCAAATTCCGTGACCCGTTTAGCCGCCGAAAAACGCAACTCTCATGTTTCCGGCCTTGTTGACAGGCTAAACTGTTTTTTCCCCATTCATTATCAAGTAATCAAGGTAATATGATTTTTTTTATGGAACTATTTTCTTTACAGGGAAAAAAAAACTATTCATGTGGACTTCCTCCGCCTTTTTTTATAAGAGACGTTGAACTCTATTATATAAATCAAAAGGTTAGTTAAAAATATTAAATAGGTAGAAATTATAAATAATTTTTCTAAAATATCTTTATTTATGAGAAGAGTGAGGATACAAGAAAAAGAGTAAAAAAATTATTATAATAAAAAAATTATAAAAGAGAGAGAATGTGGATGGAAAGAGATGATGATTTGAGAAATAAGATAATAAATATATTAAGTATTAAAATAAATAATTAATAAAAGTAAAATAAAAAATTTATCACAAAAACTTAAAATAATTTGTAAACATTACTTTTATTTAGAAATAATATGAGAACTGCAGCTGTTGGTTACAAAAAAACGTGACGGGGGAGGAGTTTTTAGGGAAGTCAATTACTACGTCATCAGTCGCAGCTTGCTACATTGAGATCACAGGGTGAACTGAGGCTTCTCTTGTTGTGCTTCAACTGGACCTGTGTCTTGCCGCTGTTCCGCGGGCGTTCATCGGCGACAGAGAAGAATGACCTTGTTTCATTTTTTCAATTGTGCAATTCTTACCTTCGGCCCGCACGCCGTTTATTATTCTGCTACTCCCTTGTAAGTCTCTTCCTCATAGATCCATCTCCCTTACCTCATTCCTTCCTTCTTGCTTTCATCCCCTAATCTGGTTTTATGTCTATCCCTGTTTTCGTTTTTTCTTTTTTTCCCAAATTCGGGATCTAATTTTTTGAAGATGCAAATTTATACCTATCGATCCTCTGACAAGTTCTATAATTTTGCCCTATCGTCTTACTTTTTACCGCTGAATTACTGTCCTTTGTTTTTTTTCGTCCCTCTTCATAGTGCCCTAGACGGACCTTTTTTTCCCTTTGGTTAGTGTAGCTGCTTATGTATAGAATATCCAAACGCACGGTGATATTATCCGAGAAGTTCATTTTTCAAATTGGTTCCTGCTCACGAATTGCAGATGGGATTCCATGCGTGAAACAGATCATTAAACGGTTTGGCTATGTTCATGATCTAGATGTTGTTCATTTTCCAATGAGTTTGTTGCTTAGTAGCTGAAGGTTTTTATTTTTTATATTTATTTTTTAAAAACTCAAACCGAAAGTTGGACAGCCTAGTTCCGATGAATGCCTGATTGAAATTTTCTGTATCATTGCTTTTAAATATCAAATACTCTTCAAAAGTTGCTCCTGCTATGTGATCAAGGCCTCGTAGTTGTAAACTTGTAAGCAATAGCACGGCATTAATTAAATATTCTTGAGTTGAATCATCTCAGAATTATTTACTTTCTTCTTTGGCAACACAACAGAAAAAAGTAGTTATTGTGCTTTGTTTGCTTGATCATGTGATCATGTGACAATTTTACATGTGCAGATCTGAGTATGACACCCTTGGTACTTCTATCAAAGCAGCTGTTGTTTATCTCGCGACAGCATTAGTTAAGGTTGGGAAATGTACTGAATTTTCTGGTCTATGTATCAAAATAATATTTGCACAAAGTAAGATTATGTGTGTCTCTTTTCTTTTGTTTTGCTTATGTTGGCAGCTCGTTTGTCTCGCAACTTTTCTCAAGGTATCTGAGAGCGATAGCTTTGATCCTTATCAGGTATGTTGCTACATTGTGTTATTATCTATTTATGCATGCATTTAGGCACCTGTACTTTTACGTAAGGCAGCTAGATATTCTTTTGGAAAATTCCTTAAAAGCATGATCTTGATACCTAATTAATTGAAGACCTTGGATTCACCACAAGGATGTCACCAATGGTCTAAAAGCTAGAATCTGTTACCAATGACTGCGAGGTTCCCCTTCGTGGGGGTGTCAATATAGGGTTTTGGGCTTGCGGAGAAACAATCTTAGCAGGGTAGTTCTGTTGTAAACTTTTGCTAAGCATACAATTGTTCTTTGAATCGAAAGAAGTTGAGACAGCACCTTTGATCCCATGGATGCCATTGTGAAGTTATTGTGCACCTCTAATACCTTTACAATGATTAGTGAGTGATAAAAAGTGGCTTATTTTTTCTCCCAGGAATGTCTGAAGGCATTAATAGGCTTCATAGATGTTGCTGGGCTTTATTTTGCCTTGACCCAGTTGACTCACAGAAACATCTCTCAAAATCATAAATTTCAAGCAGTTGGCCTAGGTGAGTGTGACAGGGTGTCACATCTTATATGATAAAAAAGATGTCTATGTTTATTCATCTCTTGAGAAGTGCATTGATTCTTCTATCTCTTCAATTCATCTCTTGTGGCAGGATGGGCGTTTGCGGATTCTGTACTGCATAGATTGGCACCCCTTTGGGTGGGCGCAAGAGGACTAGAGTTTACTTGGGATTACATTCTGCAAGGCCTAGAGGCTAATGCTAACCTGGTACATTCATCGATTTAATGTGAGATTTCTTTTTTTTTGGGGGGGAAAAAAAGGGAAGAGTTCAAATGCACATGTTCTGGCTGCTGGATGATACCCTGTGTTTTTTGCATGGAGGATGAGGAATGAATGAACCTCATTGTTCATAAATTAGTTCAATTTGATATAAATTTTATGGTTCGTATTGATGATTGTGGGATTCTGTGTTGGTTGAAATGATGAAACTGGAGGTCAGTTGCTTCAGGCAAATATGCTCCTACTTATTCTCAAATTTGTAGTACATAATTATTTAAACAGAGTTTTTGCTCGTGATCTGTACAGGTTTTGAGCATATCTCTTGCGGCACTAGGATCTTTGATGTGGCTCCGAAAAAATAAACCCAAGACTCTGATTCCTATAATATATTTGTGTGCAGGGATTGTGGCTACCATGCCATCCATCACTAGGTATTTCCTGTCTCATCACTGTTTGGCTAACAAGGGTTATTTTCCCCCCCTCTGAATTTATAGTAGGGCAAACTAGTTTTCTGTAAGTACATAGTTTTAAATAAAAAAATGAGCATAGGACCTCTCATTGAACATAAGCCTCTAGTTCACTGTTCTCTGGGGAATATTGATACTATCCATTACTATCTTCACTTCTCCCTTGTATAAAGTTGATTAGGATATGATGAACAGTCGTAAAGCATCATGGATATGGTGATTGGGTACCTGGAAGTCATAAAGTTTAGTCTCAGTCATCAATTTGCACTTTTTTATGGTCCATATGTTTAGAGCATTTTGTTGGCCATAATCCATTATAGTGCTGTCTAAACTCTTTTGCTGTTGTGCAGCTATCTGAGGCGAGGCTTGGGGTGGCATTTACTGAAGGTCGTAGGGTTTGAACTTTTCACATCTTTGGTAATGGCTGTTTTAAGTTGGCAGCTCTTTGCTGCATGTCAGAGGCCTTCAGCATGAGAACCTATCATGACCAGAATCAGAGAAATGCCATTAAGATTATTGTTAAACTGTGCTTAACTTATTTCTGGCCAGTGTGTTGATGAGCCAATCTCTGCACCAGATGGTAGCTGCCCTGCTGTTTAAATTTTACCAACTTTAGATGTATCAATTACAATTTCTTGATATATTTGATTTTTATGTTTCTTGCGAGAAGTTAAATGAAAATTAGAGTTTTGTGAATTTGGAGTTGTGCCCTGAGTTGCTTAGGGTTTGAGGCATCAACCTTGTTGATCACTACGAAATTGATTTTTGGAAGAATCTTCTTTCATGTTTCGCAACAACTGCTCCTCCTGTTTGTTGTGCTAATGTGCTCACGAACTCAACTCAAAGGAGGGAATTACGGCTTTTGTTGTAGATATATCACCAACAAATACATAACCCTGCTTTGTTTTTGGGCGTTCAAACCCAACCTGCACCGCGACATTGTGCGGACCGAGCTTTTATGAAGGATTACCATTTTTTTTTGGGGTGGGGGGGACATCCGATTATATGATGCACAGTGACTTCATCTTACCAAGGAATGTCTCAGTCGGCGTAGGCAGCCCCATGGTTAAACCTTCTCAAAGACAAAGAAACTGCATGATCTCATATATATATGTGTGTGTGTGTGTGTGTGTGTAGAAAGAGAGAGAGACAAGTGCCAATCATTTTACACAAAGCCTACTTGAAATGATCAAAGCATTAATTTTAAAAATGAATTATTAATTCGCGTTCACTCTCTATTGTCCAAGGGTACCGTCCTGATTGCAAAACGGTGCGTTGAAAAATGTTAGACCGCGGTCCCATCTCATCTAAGCGTCAAGTTTCCTCTGACCCAAAAAAGAAGCGTCAATTTTCCACTTCCTTTTCTGGGGCTACAAAAGCGACAGATTGTTGAACAGCCCAGATTGGGAATGGGACACAACCGTAGAGATGTCATCGTCACATAGTTTACATGATAATTAGTACCTGGTCGACAAAATTTTTTGTGCTAAAAGAACCAAGCAAAATCATTCAACCAAAACACAAGATAAGCCCTCGTAGTTGTGGCCTATTGATATTTTCTTCTCCAAAATTTTTTATTAAGAGGGAGGATACCCACTTAACAGTGCTTTTGAACATAATTTTCTCCAATTAAAAAAAGTATCTGTGCTTGGCTAAAAAAGAACATTTCTTTTCTTTCTAAACAACACTACGTAACCAAGACATTTTTTGAACAAATTTTCCACTTCATATTCAACAAACCCATAGAAAAGTTATCCAGTCTACTTCATCCCAACGACACAAATAAAACTTGAACATGGTCTGCGGGCGAAAGATTATCATTTATAAAAAGAAAAAAAAAATTACCATTTAGCTTACAACCCAAGATTACATTAGTACACATCCTCAAAAATACAATGATCCGCGAGATTTAAGGATCGACCTCCCATGATTGGATGCAATTCGGGCCTCGTTTGCCTCCATAACTCACATTCTGCAGAGGAGAATAATCCTCAATAACTCTGAATATTGTCACATCCATGATCAATGGCTTGCCTTGACCAACTAGTTCAAACACACACACATCAAATTCTTCCAGGTTATTGTCCAGAGCGAACTGTTTCCACCCACCAGTCAGTCCTCCAGTTCGACGACCATGTTCAAAGCTGTATTTGGCATGCCATTCATTCCCTCCCGTGCGCAATATGACGTCTTCAGAGTGAGGAAAAAGATGTTCCGCTAACCACTTGCTAGGGATTGACTGGCGTGCCACAAGAAACAACAATGCAGTTTATAATGCCCAGATCAACATCAAACATTATGAATACCATGCCACCGAAATTACATAAACAAGGCTTTAGAATATCCTAAGAAGGAAACTAAGGTTATAAAGCAACAGATTACCGCATAGAATCTCTTGTATACATGTGTGGGACGCATGATTATGTAGAAACCCTGGTCAGTACACGCTGCCTGAGCTAATTGGAGGGCAGTCGTTTTCTCATCTTCTGTAACAGGCCTTCTGTTTGAAATATAAATTTCATTCGTCTTACTTCTGCTCGCAGATGAGGGTTCAGCATCTAACAAATTCACTGACCACCATTATCAGGACCAAAATCAGATTTCACATCAAATACTGATTCCATTACTGTTTGAAACTTATTTCTCTTTTTTAATTTGGGGATGCTTCTATTTGTCCGTTATTCTGACTATGCAGGAAGGGCAGTTGTCTATTTTCTTCCATTACATCTCTTTGGAGAGAGAGTTATTTTAGGGGTATGATTATCCCTTGTGGATATGCTAGGAGATTAGGAGACTCTTTTGAACTCATGAATTGCCTGTTTTTTATAACTGATAATGAGTTTGTAATTTGTATTTCTTTGTTTTGGGAAGCCTTCTTGTTCTTGGTTTTTTATATTTCTTTACTCTTCCATAAATTATCGTCCCTTCCATAAGAACATGTTACAGGTTTTTTTTAATAAGAAAAAAGGTAGAAGAACAGCAAAAAGGTCTAGGCCCTGCGTCACATTGAGTGAAATTATTACCAGCAATCAAGTTAGCTCTGTCCCTGCGCGTTTTAGATCCTCTGGTTCCTCCCCTCTGCTTAGTTTGGACATCCGCAACTGCCACTGGAATTGCTGTCACAGGGGAGGCAAATTCCACACCAGCATCACGGGCCTCTTTGCTACTAATTTCAGAAGGGATGACAGCCGGCACTCCCATGCTCTCTCCATGCACAAACTTCTCAGGCGAAGCATGTTCAGTGGGAATATTAGAGCGGAAATTGACTTCTTTCAAACGGTTACCTCTGATTCTCTTATTTGTATGCCCACATTTCCTAACAAAATAAGAAGCAGCCTTCTCACAGGAGCCACCCCGGCCAAATATTAGAACATCAAACTGCGATTCGTTATTGTACTTGAAGACCAGGAGATCATTCTCTTCCAAACAGTGATCTTCAACAAATTGTTGCCAGCCGTGCGTGAAATGCAAGGTATCATTTGTGGTTGTCAATCCAACATTCCACTCATCGCCACCAGGACCTCTCAGAGTCACATTATCTGGCAATTTCTTTCTTAAATTATCTGAAAAACTTCTGGGCAGTGTCTGCAGTTTTTATTCAATAAAATTTAATTCGCATATTTGAGAATAAGATACAACACGCTGAAGAGAAATATTTACAGAACATATTTCTGATCACATGGTACTGATCGCAGTATCTGAAGATAGCATGAAGTTTTTTCAGCAACTGAAGCAAGTAATTATCTATCAGAAAAGCGGCCGCTAGACATTTTACGGGTATTGTCAGTGATTCTAGTACTAGGACAACTACACACACGCATGCACACATTTGCTCTCTCCCCATTCAATCTTTTCTTTTTACCCACTTTTGTCTCTCTTGGAACTCTTATTCGCTTTCCCCCACATTATAGTGTCTATAAAGATTTCTACAAACGCTGGGACTGTAAAAATGAACCAACAAAGGCAGAGAAACTGTGGTCTCTTCGCAAAGACATAGAAGGACTCACGAGATAACAATCGATCTTAAGATCATAAAGGTTAAAACAGGTAGAAAAAGGTAAAAAGCAAGAAAGAAATATAAGAGGGCAATTCGACATACTGCAAAGAAAAGCGAGGAAGAAAGGGGGCCAAACAAAAGGAAGGTAATATCGGCACCCCTGGAAGGTATGAGGATGAGAAGAAAGCAAACAACGGGAAGCGTGCACTGAAATTACAGACTAAGACTCATATGTAATGAAATCTGTATGATCGAGTGGGTGGGCCAATTATGTGATCGGCGACAGAAAAGAAGAGGAAGAGGAAGAGAGACTTACAAGCTGTCGATCAAAGCCCTTGGGAAGATAGTAGGCAAAATGGACGAATTGGAAACGGGTCCAGTAAATGTCGTCTACCCATGATCTACAGCTTTCACAATTTTCTCCCATTTCTACTGACACAGATCGCGCAGGGCAAGGGTAGAAGCCTTTAGAGTTGAAGCAGCTCGCGAGCTCCAGGAATCCACTACATAAGCTCAATAAAAAATCACCAAGGTCCTTTTATTAAGTGCATAATTATCTTCTCGACCGTTTCGGGAATTTTAAGTGTGCGCTAAAAAAGTATTTAATGAAGGGTACGTATGAAAAAATAAGATGATTTTGAAAATATAGATTATATTTTTTGGAAAAAAAAGCCTCCAGCAATTAAAACGGACACAAATAAATAAGCACCAGTACTCCTATGCGACCTCGCCCAGCCCCAGGTGCTGTGATGTCGCCCATCCAATCCAATCAAGAATCCAGGAGCACGAGGCAGAGGGGGGCTTGGTGGGCCCACTTCTCTCTGCCTCTGACCCCCCTCCCTCTGTGGGCGGCACGACTTCCGAAGGCTATCTCAGCTTTATGCTTTGTAAAATGGATAGCAAAAAAAAGAGAGAAAAAGAAGAAATAACTTTCTTTTAAGTTCAGAGTAAATTATAAATTATAAATAATTTTTTAATTATAATTTACTCAGTAAAAAGTAAATATGTAAGAAAATTTTTTTCTTGACTTACATAAAACATGTATATAAATATTTTTCATCACTGCCCCAAACAGGCCTATCATGGTGTAATAGTTTGCTTCTGCCCAATCAAATGAATCTTTTGCTCTTCTATTTAAGAATTATTACTTCAAATATCCGATTTATTAAAAATTACTAGATAAAAATACATTAATACAATGACTCATTTTTACACCAATTCATTAAGTCTTGCAAAAGGTCATCAGCAGCCATACGCCACCCAAATTATAATAATAAACCATCAGAAGATGCTTTTATACTTCATGATATGAAGGTGAAAAACCTATTGCAGCATTTATTAGACTTGATTCGGCATTGGCGCAGCATTTGTCTACTAATCAATTCATAGCCTACAACAAATACTTTAGTTGCATCCTGCATGACTCTATTAGCAGGCGACTTTGTTGTCCGTAAATTCGAAGCATCTGAGAAAATAAGCTGATGGGAAAGTTAAGCCTACTCATGCCAACTCTTCCTTCCTGAAAACAGATTTGCGAAGTAACGGACGGCTGTTAAGCGACGCATTAGCCGTTGGTTCCGTTTGATAAGCAGCTAAAATAAAATTCCAGTGACTACTATCCAAGTATCATGTTAAATTTCACATTAATGCAATAACGCAACTTTCACAAATCATCCTTGTTCATAGGTAAGAGACTTAATGAACAAAATAAGTGCTGACTGACAACCACATCGTTTCAGACATTGAGTAATGAAAGAAAAAACACATAATAATAACCAAAAAAATCAATTAATTCGATTGTCTGATAGGATTCAAAATTTAAAAGATGTGAAGATATAAGATTAAAATTTAATAATATATACATACAAATTTTAGGAAAATAATAAGAAATGCATGAACCCATTAAATTTGCCTAGTTCTGCCAGCAAGCCAACCTTTTGAAGCTCTTGCCAGTTCCCCATGGCAACACAATCTGATCAAACTTCCTGCGAAAGATTGCTTAATCCTTCACTGGTCTGCTAGGAAACAACCTTTTTCTCATTTCTCGGGCTGCATGCCCAAATAGCTACAGAAGGTTTAATAACCCAACGCATCCACAGATCCCTCACCTCCCAACAGGTTCCATTCCATTATGGTTGCCATTACAACTTTTACAAGGCAACAGCTACATTACTCCCCCCCCCCCCCTCCTATTCTCTTAATATGGATGAGCATGGATGAATGGGTCTAACAATGCCAAGTATCGAAAGAGGCCGACCTTCATAATTTAAGCGATAGTAACGCATCATGAGTCTCCTGGTAATAGATGACAACCAACGTGATGTCGACTTAGGATGTGAACTCTATTTTCTGTCCCTTTTTATTTTTCGAAGGGAGAGAGTTTTGCGTTTGTGGGTTGGGGGAGGGGGATCATTCATGGATTGTTTAAAAGCATAAAACATGTCCATTGAAGATTGATTCATCTGTCTCACAAGCATGAGTGTTTACTGGTTGTTGGAACTACAGGTAATCTACTAGATTTTGGTTCCCTGTTCTGATGGTCAAGCCCTTCCTTACCAATCCCAGAAATATAAACTTGCATTTCATACTGACCAACAAGTTCGAAAATGCACGTGTCTCCAAAATTGATGTCATTATCACGGACAAAGGCCATCCATCCCCCACAAAAGGTGTGCACTGCTCTGCCTTTTGTGTCTGGAACAGAGTTCACAGCCCAACATTCACCTCTCAAATTACGAAGCACAACTTCTGTTTTGTATGATGGAAGATGCGCTGCAGAAAACTGATATGGGATTTTCTACAATGCGAGGGGAAAAAAAAATCCAATGGATTAGAACTGATGTTAGGAAATACAATTACTAATAGATGTGGTCAAAAGCATTACATAATTTCTAATCACTCACCAAAGTGTATGATCCGCTGACATTGAACTTTTTCATGACTTTTACAAAACTAGGAAATGAGGAAGTGAAGGCCTGAGCTGCTCTTTGTTCATCAAGTGCAAACAGCATTCTCAAACCAGCTTTAGCCTGTGAGCTTAGTTCATCTTCAGTTCGATGTCTTCTCCGAACAGCTGTCTTCGTTTACAGTTAAAAGTATGAAATAAGTCACGATTTGGACGATATATTCTTTTATAGATTAAAGATATTCAACATTCATCTCTCTTCAGTAATTATCACTCGCAAAGATTCCAATTTGAATTATTAAATTAATTTCTTTTTTTAGCCAAACAGAATAAAACTACTACCAGAAACGTAATGCTATCAATTCATATTGACTTAGAATCTGAATGCAAAGCCCAGTTAAGAAATAGATAGAAACCTCACCCAACTTATTATGGGCAGCTTTTGACTGAGGGCAAATCCCTGTCTTCTTAGAAGCCTTCGACACTCCGCCAGGATTCTTTTTATCCGCAGACAAAACAGCATCCTGACACATCCTTGACCACTTCTTATCAGATAGATCAACATTTCCATTGCATTTTGGATTGACTTTGGCCTTCATCGGCATACATCGAGAAGTTCTATGGGAATTGATGGAATGTCCTGTAAGAGGCCTACTAGAAGCTACTTTCCCACCCTGACAGTCTATCCCATCTTTTCCTACTCCAACAATGCGGACCCGTAATTCACGCTCATGGACAAGTTCAAAAATGCAGATATCCCCAACTTTAATGTTATTGTCACGAACAAAAGCCATCCATCCACCACAGAGAGTGTGACTCGTATGTACTCTTGTTGTTGGCACAGAATTAACAGTCCAACGCTCCCCTTTTACATTATGAAGGATGATCTTTATCTTGCAGTTTGGAAGATGCACCATTGAAAATTGATACGGAATATTCTGTATGATACCACTCAAATTCATATGTCAAATTCAGAGAGAGAGAGAGAGAGAGATTATAACAACTGTGTTGTCAAGTGTGATGACCTTGTGCAGGGAAGTGGTGATCAAACTGCAAAAGTGATTTATAACAGAAGGGCAGCCAGTACATAATAAAATAAAATTATATAGGAAGTAAAATAAGAACCACAAAGGGGATCACACACCAGAGTATATGAACCACTGATGTTGAAGCTTTTCATGATTCTCACGAAATACGGGAAAGAGGAAGTAAACAATTGAGCTAATCTTTTCTCATCATGTGACGATAACTTTGACAGACAAGCTCTATTATTCATACAAGGATCATCTTCTTTCCCACTTCCAATCTGCATAGCAGCCTCTGTATTGAATATAACAATTAAATAAAGCAGCATATTAAGATTTACATTGCTTTGCCTCATGATCCAACTTGAGCAATAAAAGGTATATGCCAGGAAATAAACATGGTATTCAAGACTTGAAAAAATGCTTTTGTGACTACGGTAAGCTTACTGTTCATGTTCATCTCAAGACTTAATTATGACATACAAATAATTATAATATAATGACCTTGTTTGTGAGACTCAAAATGTGATAGATTAAATTAACAGTTTTACCTTCACATTCGTTGCTATCATCCATTTGAGAAGGCAAAGCAACATCACTAGCTGGGCATCTAAGTTGTGCATCTTCTTTGGAGGATTCTCCTTTTTCTCTGAACATATTAATTGGTTTTACCCACTCAAGCAAGGATAAATCTTTACTAACTATACTCGTCTTGAGTTCCTGGTTCTCAAAGGCACTCCCTCTCATTTTCTTTGGCACACCTTCAGCAACAACATTCAAAGAACAATTCTCCTCCCTATTTCTTTTATGTGCATTAATATGATTGACGTCACATGAATTTTGACTGCACTTAGATATAAATGCTGCTTCTTTCTCGCATGCTCTTTGATCAAAGACTAGCACATTGAAGTGTAGGTGACCCTCATATCTGAAAACCAAAAGGTCACCAACTTCCATAAAATGATCTTCCAAAAACATCTGCCATCCATGATGGAGGAATAGATCATTCCCCTCCTTAACCAGTTGAACATGCCAAGTATTTCCGCTAGGACCCGTCAATGAGACTAAACCAGACGTCCTACCTTCAAAGCAATGGGTGAATCCGGAAGGAATTCTCTGCAGAAACAGAGTTTTTTCTTACGACCACCAGAATTCCAAGATGCATACAATCTAGATACATTGGCAACCAAGAAAGACAATTCCATGGCCAAATTATACATTAGGCAACAGTTTCAACATTCAGCCGTTCCTAAAACCTTAGAAGGCACTTTGAATATAGATGATCATAAATTGTTCACAAAATGATTACGTAGGAAAATTTAATATGCCCATGAATTCCGACAGTCAGCCCTGTACAAATCCTAAAGCATTTGGTTTCAAAGCTTCATTTTCTAAAAAATTTCTACACATAAAATTGAAAAGAAGATATATATTTATCCACAGCATAGGGCAGTTCAATCTGTCACTATTATGGAAAGAGAGATAGATGTATCATACATATCTTTACAAGGAAGTGAGCTCTCTTCGCAAGCAATGACAACAAATAATAGCATTAAGCATCATTTAGATACATTTCGTTCATGTATAGTTGAAGAGGAAATTTAATCCTGATCCAGCCATTATTAATGCCAAAAGAACAAGAAAACTTAATCACCAACCTGATGAAAAAATGATAAATCCTTACTATAATATTGGGGAGATTAAAGTCGAGCTTAAACAGCATATAACAGCGATAAAGATATGACAGGAATACTGTATCCCGTCTTATATGTAGGACATAATTAGTATTCGCGTTATTCAGACTGGAAATTTCAAACTCGAGTTCAAACTCATTTAAGGGGCAAAAAAATATATTGATATTTCAACATCACAGTGGCCCCATCGATGATGGAGTAGAATA